CAGTGATGGTGAACCTATGACACGCGTGTCAGAGGTGACACTCGAACTCATTTTTTTGGTTGATTTTTCTTTGTTAAATGGCATTTAAATATATAAAATAAATATCAAAAATATAAGTCTTTGTTTTACTATGGTTGCAAATATCAAAAAATTTCTATATGTGACACGGCACCAGAGTTAAGTTAGGGTTTTTCAAAATGCTGACACGCCGAGCTCAAAAGGTTCGCCATCACTGATCTAAACACCAAGTTTAAGGAAGAGCACTGTAGGTTCCCAAAGTGGAAGAGTAAAACAAAGATATATAAAAAGCATTAGGGATGCTAAAAGTTCCTTCAACCAATAATCTTTAGTGAAAGAACTGGACAACAGTTAGAATGTGGTTTGTGTCACTCCAATATTCCTGATCATAGCCACTTGCGCAAAAATACAGCACTTCCTAAAGCATATTTCCATTTACCTATCTTTCAATAAATACCTCTCGAATCCAAATACCGGAGGGATAAAAAAGCCATACACTCCATGCATCTCTTTTCTGAGAAATCTAGGTTGTCTAACTGCTCAAAAATGCCTTAACAATAAGAATAATGATTCCCTTTAACAATATTAAAAACACATAAGCAAAACCTCCCAACTTATTTTATGAAACAAATAACTTGAAGGCACTGTTTTACAGCCTGGGAAAATGCAACACATATTTTACAACGTTGACAAATCAGAACTCTCTTGCACTTATGTTTCTCATCTGGCTCATGAGTACCTGAACTTCATGTCCTCCCCAGGCTCCAGGATGTCCTGGATTTTCAAGGACAATCAATTGACAAGTAAATATTTATTGAGCATCTACTAGACGAGTTGACTAAATAGCTGAAGGCACAGATTCCCTAGGAGCGTATAGTTCTGTGGAAGTGGAAGTGGACGTAGAGATGGATGGGCACTGCCCGCCAGTGTCCTCATGCCATCGAATTACAGGTACCTTTGCAGCCGCATGAGGTGAGGCTCCTTGGTCCAAAAGCAGAAGGGCCACCTTCTGGTTATCGTAATGTGCAGCTACATGCAGTGGAGTTAGCCCGCTCTGAAAACACGTGCAGAAACAACCAGTGTCAACAGTGTCTTAACATCCGAGGCCTAGAGTTAGGAGACGGGATTAGATCGGGTACAACATAGAGTGCACTTTACACTGCAGTTGCCACAACACTTGGACCCCAGCATTCACCTATTTCCAGTGTTCCTTGTCCTATGAGACTTAACTATGGTTATCATTTACTAGTAGGTGGCTGGTGGTGAATAATAGCAAGTGCGTGTTTTGTTATCATGGAAGTGGCCTGTTATACAGGGTGGCTGGTGGCCCCATACCTTCCCAGCGGCATCAGGAGACGCGCTCTTCTGCAGCAGGAGGTTGGCTACTTCAAGCTTCCCGTATTTTGCTGCCACATGAAGGGGAGTGAATCCTTTCTGAAAAATGAAACATAAAAATAATGAGCAATAGAAATGACCCAAGGGCATCTCTCTTCTGGAACTGATGAATTATTCTAAGGAGGAGCAGGTAAGGCTGCACTTAAGAGGCAAGGCTGGTAGGTGACAGTTAGAGAGTCCCCTCACCAACAAGGAAGAGCTGTGTGCTGAGCCACAGCAGGCCACTGACGCTGGGACTAAGTGGCCCTCAGACCAGGATGAGGTTGGAGAGCTGGATCTGGGGCTTATTCCAGGGCCATTTTGGGATTTCATGTTGTAGGAAGAATAGATTCCAGAGTCCCAGGTGCAATTTGGGTTTGGTGGGCTTGGGAACATCCAGGGCAAATCTGGTCCTCCCATAATTTCAGACTGGAGCCTTTCTCTTCCCATTTCGCCTTTTCCACGTGTATGCACATATCTTTATGTTTGTTCTAGTTTTCAGGAGTAGGAGCCAGAGGTCCTCAGACACAGGTGAACTGAACTGAATAATAACACCAGGTGCTAGTCCAATAAACATATAGAATTGGACACTGAGGATGAGTACTAATCTCCCTTGCTCTCAACTCCCACAAGGATCTGGGTATCTAGCAGTTCTCCCTTTAGGGAGGGACCCAAACATGAGACAGGGACTGCAGAGTCATCAACACATTTGACCTCATGAGATTATAGCCAACTAGAGCCAGTGGGCAGCTGGTTTGGTGAATGAGCTGGGGCACTCAAAACCCCAATGTTTTACACATTGAATGAGATCCAGGAACTTACATCTCAACTTTCCCAAAGAGCCTAAAGAATCACAGGAGGTGAAGTTTAAGGTCGTCATCATTTTTTTTCCAGATAGTTTACTACCAAGTATTTATAATTATTGTAATTATCTTGCTCATTGGTTACACATTAATGCTGCTTCTCTGCACCCAAATAAGATAGTGCAACACCATTTCCAGCTATCTTCCTACCACACCTACAAGGTTTAAACAGAAACTTAAAAAAAAACGACCTCTAAATTTTGCATCTGCAGAGCAAGTGTGTGGAACACTACCATTCTAAGGTATCAGAGTCAAGATTTAAAAAAAATCAGAGCATAAGTCAAACAACACAATAGTAACAAAAGGAATGACAACAACAAACAAAAATTATCCCTCCCCCCCCAAAAAATTTCTCCTCCTGATTTGAAAGTATTATAAAAATATCAACCAACTGAGCTTTGATAATGTGGTTTATATACATGGTCCCAGCTAGAGAAATCTCTGGCTGTGTTTTTAAAATCACCAGTTAAATCTATCAAATAACATTCAAGAAATATCTGACTCTAGATATCAGTACGTTTTCATTAGAAGATAATGTACTGAGAAACTTAAGCCAGACACACAGACACACACAGACTTACACATACCCTAACTACCCTCCCCCACTCCAGGGCTTTGCTGGCCATGTTGGGACTACCCTGGGATCCCAAGTGTAGGTGATGATATACAACCGTTGTACCTGTTGCCGGGAACAGGTACCAAGGAATTTTGAGGAGGATGTATTTTGGAGAACACAGCAGAAATTGTAAGGACACATTGGGGATTACAAGGAGGATGTATTTTGAGGGACAGAGTAGGATTCCAAGACTTGTTTTCATACCTTTGTTGTAATAGACAAAGATGCGCCATGATCCAAAAGGAATGAGGCCACGTCCTCATGCCCTTCTCGGGCTGCAAGGTGGAGGGCGGTGTACCCAGAAGTCGTGGCTGCATTTGGAGACGCTCCTTGCTGCAACAGCTGCTGGACTATATCCGCCTTCCCCAATCGGGCTGAGATGTGCAGTGGGGTTTGGTCATCCTAAATGGCAAGGAGGAAACGCAAGGCCGATTAGCTGAGAAAACAATGGTACCCTTGAGAAACATTTAGCAAATTGCCTGGCATCAGAAACTAAAGTCCAACTCTTACTCAATAATAAAGAGAATCTCATTTACCTTTTCTTCAAGGTTCAGAAGGGTGGAGATGGTAAACCTAAGCTTAAATACATTTCTACCAAACTATTAGTATGAAAGTATGGAAGACATTTCTATCTATAAATTATTTCCACTACTACCTGCCATACTTTATCAGTTTTTAACATCTAATGGCTCCTTTTTTGGGAGATAAGGAAATACATCCTGGTAAACCTCAAATACCTAGGAGGGATATTAAACTTCCACCAGTTATAACGCACTCACATGGGATGAAATTTATTGGTGGTGTCTTCCCATCACCAAAAGTTGAGGGGGAGGGGGCAGTATAGGGCTGTACAGGTACACCAGCAAAACAGCTCCCAGCCAAGAGGGCCAATGGGGGCTGAAAGCCAGCCTACCCTCTATTTGCCAAGTTGTACATCCTGGCATAGGCTGCATCTGCCTCGAGTGGAGGGCCACCTTATACAATTCACCCAAATGCATAAGGCCCTCACTAAGTCCTGTCCCTTAGGTCCCTATGCCCAAGTGGGAGAGGCATCTATTCCTCATTTGTCCAAAGATGCTCTATGGTGGTCCTCCAGAAAGAAATCCCCTGCTTGAATGTGAAAAAGTTCAGGTAAATACTTTATGTAGGGAAGGTGGAGAGCACAGGATACTGCTTTGGAAAGGTAGTAAGATGAGAGTCAAGGTCAAAGCAAGGTCAAAACTTCCTACTATGTTACTAGCAGGAAGCATTAGGGGAGATGTTATGAGGAAGAAGAGGAATACTGAAAACAGAGAGAGTTGCCAAAGGAAAATTTCATAAAACTCTACAATTGCCACCACCACCACTAAACATGTCCTGGGCACCTTACCTGCCCCAGGCTGTAAGTACTGCTCCTACCGTACCTTTTTAATCATCACAACCATCCTATGAATTGCACGATCACTAGTCTCCTTTGCTATGTGAGGAAATGAGAACAGAAAACCTGGCACAGAATCCTTAACCTACCCCATGTTACACAGCTAGGAATTGGTAGACCAAGGTCCAAACACAGGCAGTGTGGCTGAGGAAGTCAGGCTCCTAACCATGATACATGCTGCCTCCTTAACAAACTGATAACCAAAAATCCTCAATTTCAGCTGATGGGTAGAACCACTCCTTTGACACAATGCTTGATATGGAATAACAACACTCATAAGTGTGATTTTTTCTATAATCCAAGGTACAGTATAACTTCTCTTAACTCTTCCACTTAACTGATTAAGTGGATTCACCAATATCCTCTAGATCAGTGGTTCTCAACCTTGGCTGCACATTAGAATCACCTGGGAATCTTTTTAAAATCCTGATTTCTGGGCCTCATCCTCCGGAAATTCTGTTTCTTTGTTATGGGGTGGGGCCACAACATTAGTAACAAAGAAACAGAATTTCCGGAGGATGAGGCCCAGAAATCAGGATTTTAAAACAAAGAAACGAATTTCCGGAGGATGAGGCCCAGAAATCAGGATTTTAAAAAGATTCCCAGGTGATTCTAATGTGCAGCCAAGGTTGAGAACCACTGCTCTAGATCAAGGGTCAGAAAACTACAATCCAGCGGCCAAATCCAGCTGCCACCTGTTTGTCAATAAAGTTTTATTGGGACCCAGACATGCCCATTTGCTTATGCACTGTCTGCGGCTGCTTTTGCTCCAATGGCAGAGTTGAGCTGCTGTGATAGCAATGCTGCACCCCTCAAAGCCTAAAATATTTACTCTTAGATCCTTACAGATAAAGTTTGCTGACCTTTGTTTCTAGATCCTCTACAACATCCACTAACTGGTGCCACAGAACACTGGACACTTGAGGTTTGCGGTCTGCTGCTTAGAATGCCACAACCTTCGCCTCCACCTGCAGACTTCATGCTTACCCAGACCTAGTTCGGTTTATTCTCACAGTAGTATGTTTGCACTAATTATTCTCCTAATTTGTACTACATGTGCACTAATTACTTTAATTATACAATAAATAATATGTTCACAGGTAAAACATGAGCATGACAGGAAAGGCTGTATTTCCCCCTAAGAATACTGAGTTGAAAGCTTTGGAAAGTCTAGATAGATGTTGATAAAAAGCAATTATGATTTAATTAGATATGGGTGAGACAGCTGAACACATCGAGAGAAAATTACCAACGGTTATAAATATTCTGCACTCCCACTGCTTCACGGATATCTATTTCCTCTCCACCCCAAACTAGGAACTACAGATCACAGAAATAAATAGCAATTAAATACACATGCATGTATTGTATGTTGAAAGGAAGTGATTAAGGTATTGATGTGTTTACTGACCATTCCTGACCTGAACTGCCATTTTGAAGAACCAGACCAACTATACATCCTGAATAGTGACAGGAAAGTGGGTTTCCTCTGGGGGCTGGACACCAGGCCAGGACGAAGCATTCAAATTTAACCCTGGAGTTCCTTTTTTCATGCAAAGGCAGATCCCTGAAGCAACTCTGACCTTCGTCCCAGGGTTTATGGTTTCACAACTTGTAGAGAAAAAGTTAAAACTTCCTTTTTCCTTTGTGGCTGTGACAGCTGGCCTGCGAGTCAACCAAATGAGCTCAGTGATGCTTCCAAACTGTGCTTATCCTAGAAGCCTGTGCATAAGCCCCTCTCTACAGAGTGTGAAGAACTCTGGACCGAGTCTAGGTTTGTTTCTTAATCTGTTCAGGACTAACCATGTGCCAAGGACACGAAGTTCCTTCTGGCACACTGTGCCTGTTCTATTTAATCCCGTTAAATAACTGAATGGACAACTGTACAGGGAAGGGATGTTTTTACAATGTCACTTGGGTAGAGATTTTTTCCAGTGGAGGTTGCTCACTACGTTAAAGACATATTCTTGGAAGATGGCATGCATATATTTAAAGGGTTTATTAAAATCAAGACTTTCCCCATCAATAGCAAATGCTTCCAGGAATCGCACTGACCTTTGCTTTAGCTTCTACCTGAGCTCCGTCTTGCACCAGATGCCGCACGACTGCGGCCTGGCCGGACCGAGCTGCCATGTGCAGCGCCGTTTCTCCTCTCTGGGGAAGAAGAGTCGGAACAAAGTTACTGCAGCTCCGAAGAAGAGCGGCCTGCTTCACCTGCATGAAGCTTATGATGTCGGCTTCATATTTTATAAATAAAAAAAAAGTCCCAAGCACTTCCTTAGTGAAGGCTAGGAGAGACAGGAGATGAAAGGCACAAGAATTTCAGAGGAACCTGATCCAGGAAGGAAGGACTTTGGTATAAGCTGAGGGGCCTAGTCATCGACAGTGTCAGAAGTGCTGTCCAAGAACCTTCAAGGTGGCCTCCTTCAGGGTGGAAAGGTGAATGCTCACAGGGGGAGAGAAGGGTACATGAGTGGAGAGGGCAGGTGGGGAGAGCTCAGGAGAAGAGCGGGGGGCCTGCCCGAAGGTGGCAGCCACTATGTGAGGTCTGCAGGCAGCTGTGGGGCTGTGCAGGGGGCCCCGCCTTCCTATTCAAAAGGAGGGGCAGCCTGGCTATTTGTGTGCACTTTCATGTTGACCCCAAAACCAGACTGGAAAACAAAACAGAAACCAAAGTGCTGCATGGGCAACACAGACGCACATGAGGGCCCGAGTGGGCTTGCTGGCTGCCGGTGTGCATTCTCTGCTTCACCTCATCAGATCAGCCTCCTAGCCTTCAGGCATTAGTCCAAGGGGTCAGTTTCTTTGCCACTAAGCCCCCCTCCCCCCTCACCAC